TGCCTCCTGCTGGGGTGGCACCGGGCGCTGGACAACGCCGTGTCACACCCTGGAGGTGACGGGCTGGTTGTGCCGCCTGCTGGGGTGGCACCGGGCGCTGGACAACGCCGTGTCACACCCTGGAGGTGACGGGCTGGTTGTGCCGCCTGCTGGGGTGGCACCGGGCGCTGGACAACTCCGTGTCACACCCTGGAGCCGGCGACACCTTTGTGGGACACGGATGTCGTGTGAACACCCTGCACTGCAAAGTCGTTTCCCAACCGCAGCCTGTCATTAGCTGGTCTCTAATCAGCCTCCTGATGCCGGGGCTGGGCTGCACACGCAGCTCCCGGGGCAGGGGCTGGCTGGGCCTCCGAGCTGTCGCAGCCCAGCCCGAGACACCCCACTGGAAGCGGTTTTCCAGCCGGAGAGAGTGGGGGCGGCCCCACGGGGGTCCCCAGCCCTGCCTGTGCCCCGAGGAGGGACATCACACCAGTGCTTGCTTGCAGCCTCCTCGCCAGGCTCCCAGCCAAGCCCCATCGCCCCATCCACAGCCTCCAGCTCTGGGATCTCACCAAGCCCTGCTGTGCCAGCCACNCGGGTCCGAGCCAGCAGAGACCTTCCCTCCGGCTGTGCTTGAGGTGGCTCTCTGGGTTCCCTGGGTCACTGCTTGTTCTAAGGCCACGGGGTCGGCAGAGTCCCCAGAGCCCCCAGACCCTGCCCTGCCACCCTCGTGTCCTGCAAAGCTGGGGGGGCTGGTCCTGTCTGTGGCTCCGTGAGCTGGGCACGTTTTGGATCTGTGTAAACACAGAATCATCCTGGAATCCCAGCATGGTTTGGGCGGGAAGGGACATTAAAGCTCGTCTCGTTCCACCCTGTGCCGTGGGCAGGGATGCCACCCACTTACGGGATGTCTCACGCGCTGTCACCTGGTCCCCTCGTGAAGCCCTGTAAACAAACTCTCAGCCTCTCCAACATTGTGCAGGGATGAGGCCACAGTCTTGTAAAAACAGCAGAATGGAAACCCAAAGCGTTTCTCTGGGAACACCCATGTCCCGTAAACCGCCGTGACTGACAGTAATGACACGTTCCCCTCATTATCAGGGTCAGAGCTTAAGTCTCCGACTGTTTTCCCAACTGGTCGGGAAGTCCCTGAGTCATCGCTTTTGATCCATTTAAATATCGGATTGATGCCGGGGCAGAGGCAGCACGGTGGGGGGAGAGGTTTGTCCCAGCAGCTCCAGCCCTGCCCCTGCTCTTTGGGGACCCCACCTGTGGCTTCAGGCTCTTCTGCCACCCACGGCTCTGGCCCACCTTTGTGCCTCCAGCCCCTGGCAGCAGCTCCTTCCCCTCCCTGCCCGACTCCGAGGACGCAGCCGGGAGGTGACGGGCTGGTTGTGCCGCCTGATGGGGTGGTGGGGTGGCACCGGGCGCTGGACAACG